TTACTCTCCTCTTTTAAATACGAACTAATATTTTCGTGTCGCAGAAATGCTAGCGGATGAAGGCAGGAAGTTTGATGCTGTTCTCTCTTTAGAGGTACCTTTTGCTGGTCCATCTCTTTTTCAGCATGTCCCTTTCTCTTTGTCAAACTTCCTGATATTTATACTGTTCCATGTCTCACTTCTAATATCATCATATTTATGGCAAATTTTCTGATTTTCTACAATGAAGGTCATCGAGCATGTAGCCAACCCTGCAGAGTTCTGCAAGTCGTTGTCAGCATTGACCATCCCCAATGGGGCTACAATACTTTCTACAGTTAATCGCACTATGCGAGCATATGCATCAACCATTGTTGGAGCAGAGTACATCCTACGTTGGGTAATCTTCAGTTTCACACTTTATTTATCTTCTGTTAACACTTAACACTTTTTCTTACTTCATGTGTTCTTGGTTACTCATTTTGTTGTTTGTATATTAAATCACCTTGCAGCTTCCTATAGGCACACATCAATGGTCAAGTTTTGTAACTCCTGAAGAACTGAGTATGATATTACAACGTGCTTCAGTCGATGTAAGCCTATCCCTCCCCATTCAATAACACTTATGTCAATTTCAATAAGTAATCTTAAGCCGACTGAAACCAAAACAACAGTATGCATGTCTCGATGTGGGCAAGTGGTAGATTTTGCTAGAGGTGATAACTAGAAAACTATGTATTGCAGGTGAAAGAGATGGCTGGATTTGTGTACAACCCAATAACAGGAAGATGGTTATTGTCAGATGATATTAGTGTCAACTATATTGCTTATGGGACGAAAAGGAAGGATCTTGGAGACATATAATCAATCGTTCCAAGTCGTGTTTCTCTGCATATCTGCTTCTGAGTTACAACTCTAGTTTATGCTTTAAAAAGTAGGTACTCTGGAAGTTGGTTAGGACGAGGACAGTAGTTATATTTGCAAATAAGTGAGAAACATTCAAAGAAGATTAGTTTTGCCTGTTACACATCAGCAGATTTGGTCTTCTGGATCACACTTATGTCAGCTCTCTGAGAGAAGATTAGTCTTTGAATATACGTTTTGTGGTAAATATGGCATAGTTCGGAGGACCAAAGCTTTTTTTTTCTTCTCAAGAACTTGAAAATTTTGCGAATTGTTTTATGTGTGGTTCAATATGGACTCCTTTCGACACAATGCTGAAAATGTACTATTAAAGAAAAATGTATTACCAGATGCTAACTAAATGAATCAAATCATGAAGCCAAGAAACTTATTAATAATACCTGCCCTTACACAAACCAAGAAAATAAGGCCTTTTATTATTGTAGTTTACAAAGTGAAACAAATACGAAATTGGAAAAAGAGTTATAAAAAAAAAAAAAGGCTGGCATTTAGTCAAAAAAAGAAATCTGATATACAAATTAATAAGTAAAACGTTGCTTGTGATCCAGATTTGTTTTATTTGTGTGTTTATTAAAACTGATTGCCAAGTTCTTGTTCCATGTTCTCCAGATCCCATATGGCTACTTTGCCATCCAATCCTATAAATAACAAACCGATATGCGAGTAAATGAAGCTGCTGGTTTATTTTTTGAGAACTGAATCGGCTGATTCCATTTGAATTAGTGACTGACCTGAAGTGCTGAATCGCATAACTTTAGGACTCCCTGCTTTGCTCAGAGGCACAATAGAACTGCAATTTTCAGGTAAACTTCCACGTCAGGCTCTTAACGGAGAATCGAGTAAAAGAGTTAGTGAGACAGTCTTCTGGCAAATGATTTGGTTAAAGTAAAGTTAGCTTAAGAAAAAGTTACTTTATGCAGTTATCATGAACGCGTCCACGTGATTCAGAAGCATCATTGGCTGTTGCAGACTTTGATTGACTACCGTAGAATTTTCCAAATGCTTCGGAAAACTGAAAACATAACATAATAAAAAGATGGGTTAGACAAAACAGGACAAATAATGCAAGTGGAAAGTAGTAACCCCAAGGAAAAAAGAAGGAGCAACTACACAAACCCGAAAGATTACTATCTTATAGGAACACTTCAGGAATAAGGTACATTTCAATCATATTTTATTCGAAAAGGCTAAAACCAGACATATTGCACCAAAAACAAGAAATAAAATTTGGTATGTACCTGCGAACTGTAACTGGAATTTGAAGATGCCGCTTTCTTCTCTCCGATGTATCTGATAAAGCTCCTACAGACCATAAACAAAGATTTGTAAACGAGTATAAATTAATTGAAGGATTTGATTATATGCAAACAGTTAAGAAAGAGATAATTAAGCAGATATTTCTGAGAGTTACACACCATATTCCAGTATCATCTGCAGCAAATACCATTGGATTGCTGTCATATCCAACACCTATCACCATTTTCTCAGAAATAAACAGGACCTGAAAAAGTAAATTGAAAGTAGCATATAAATTCAGGATATAACACATGGAGAAGACTAGTTTCCAAAAGTAAAAGAAGAGTGGATGCTGACCCACATCACGAAGAGGCAAATCTCGGAATGCAACGCTTTGGGCTAAAGGAGAAGGACCAACATCATCAACAAAGTAAATCATGGAGCTATGGCCTATACAAGATTACAGAAACAAGGGAAGTGAGACAAGAGTATAGTAAAAATTATGCAACCAAGTTGAAGTTCCATTTTATAACTCCAGTAGAGCTCAATGGACAAACATCTGAAGTTTTAAGGATATTCTGACCTACATAAGCTAAGGTGTTTCCACTTGGAGACCATTTCACACCAAATGCCCAAGAATATGAGAGATCAAGCTGAAGAATTTGCTGTCAACAAATACACAAAAGAAAAAAAGCTCCCTAACATTAGATGAGGGAGTAGAGGCAAGGCAACAGTTATATGGCATAAGCATTATGATATTTACGAAAAGAAGGAAAGCCTGCCAAACAAATCAAACCTCCCCAAATTTAGTTTCCGCTGGTGAGCCTGCTTTTGAATCCCTGTATCAGCCCATTGAGAGAAAATATTAGAAACTACACCCATTTTTTTGCGAAAACGTTTTAGAAATAGACATTCAAGAAATGAGCATACTTTGTATCAACTCCTTTGATGAATGTTGAAAATACCCGACATTTTCCATCTGTAGATGTCGTTGCCAGAAGAATCTAATGCAAAACAGACAATCAGAGAGAACAGCAGCATGAAAAGGTACCGGCAACAATAATTTAGAAGATTAACTAGTTTGTGGAGATTGATATTCTATCTTAGGGATCATGTACTCTATACTCTATTCGGTGGCCAACTAATATAATATTTTTGGTACAGAAAGCAATTGCAGAGGGCCTGATTAATTTTGGCTACATCAAGTACAGGGGGTTGTGTTAATTGCACGTACATTATTAGGATGCCAAGCAACAGATGTGACTGAAGATTCGTGCCTTTTCCGGATAAGTTTACTGACCCACCTGAACACAGTAAAGCCAAGCAATGTCAGCCAACTAAAATACGGAAACTCTACATGAAACTAATAATATACTTTGTGAGAATTGCACATAGTCCAGATCTTTCCAAAACCTCAACACATTACATGGTTAAGCATGCCAAGATGATAAAAAAAAAAAAAATAGGTGCTAATAACATGCCAGTACATAACACAAGATAATACCATTACATAGACCAACAACGCCATTTTTAGGCAACATTCCAAGGAAAATCCATGACTAATAATGAGAACTAGGAGCAGAAAAAGAAATTACCAGTTATTCTCTTGCTCGTAATAGCAAATACAAACAGTTTTAGCACCACTTCCAACAGCGAACTTGTTCTCTAAAGGTATTGAGAAAAAAGATGGGAACACAGATTAGAAGCTGTAGAAATTATAGGAAAAGTACTTTACATATTACATAGACAAGTAAGCTTGAGAACTCAGAAAACTTTAGATCTGATACATTTACCTTTCGGGCTCCATTGGACACAAAGTGCAGCACGATTTAGTCTAAGAATAACAAGAGTTGGTACCCACTCACCTCCGTCCAGGCTCCACACGTACCTTCAAGAAGCATTCTAAACTCAGTTTAACTAACTAAAACAGTGGAGAACTAAGAATAACAGGTTTGCAGTTTCTCACAGCACTAATCGAAGTAAAAGGTTACCCAAATGGCCAATTTCCTCAAAGTATATAAAAGTTGGCAACTTACGAGTTCCTGTCATGAGAAACACTGACGATTTTGTTGGATTTTGAGCTCCAGTCAATTCCAGAAACAATTTGGTCATGCTGCAACGATTCAAACAATAATCATGACTTTTGTTGTAAGGGAGATTCAAACTGTCAATAGAACACTTTTCAGCGACAATCAGTAAAATGAGAATAAATGAATATATTTAGTAAAGAATTCCCAAGAAGAGAAAGGAAAGGAATGCAGGTTCAAAAGTTTCACCTTTTGGAGGACATGTAACCTCTCCCACTGGTCTAGAGATGATGATTTATAGATATGAACTTGAGTATTGTTAGGACAGAGAGCAACCACTAGGAAGAAAAACAAAGCAAATGTCACAGCACATAAATGGTTACAGGCTTAGTACAGAAGATACCAACTGTTCCTAAGAAGAGACACTGACAAACAGACATAACAAACATTGACCCGAAAATCCTGAATTCTAGGGATTTTGAAGAAATTTGATTAGCAAGATGTATTAGAACAACATAAAGGCAATTCAGTTCTCTCATCTATCTTTCTTACCAGCCAAACTATAGATCCTCCTCCTCATATAATTATTAAAAAAAAAACAAAAAGGCAAGGAAGAGAGAAACATACTGGAGTGATCAGGACTCCACGCATGGCAAGTGATTGACTCAGCGAACCGATGAACATCCACCACCGCCATTGTCCTTTCTGGCGGATAATGTGTTGTAATGGAGACAGATAGTCTTTTCTCTCAAATTGACATCTACAGATTCCTAATAACGGAGTCGTACGGTGAATAGATCGACGGAGAATGATGAAACGCCGATGAGATCCGGAGCTCGACGACGTGAAGTGAAAGAGAGAGATGTTTTTGTTTGTTTGTTTGTTTGTTTGTTTTTTACTCTAAAGCCCAATTTTTATGACCAAATCTTCCTTGGCCCTTTCTTTTGGGGCGACCGAGCATAATAATAAGGAAAAAAAATCGATTTTTTTTATATTTTTAATACTGCCATTAACTGTTCTCCGGATTTTTTTATTGTAAAAATTTAAAATAAATTGATTAGTATCTTTGTCTCTAAAGTAATGATATACTCTCGTGGAATAAGGTTTACTTCAAGTTTGGTCTTTCTCTAATAATCTCTCACTAATTAGATTTCAGAATACATATTTAGGTCATGTTCGTTTCATATTCGCAGGGGGATTGCGACTGCGACTACGATTTTGAATCGCATGATGTTGTTCGTTTAGCAATCGCATGACTGGTCGCTGCGACTAATCGCTATTTAAAAAGTCGCATCGCTATTTTTTCATGGGATCAAAAAAATCAGTCGCAAGTCGCAGCGATTGATCGCGCGATTAGTCGCAAGATCCTGCAACTCCCAAACGAACAATTTTCAGTCGAACGAACAACACCTAATAGTCCATTCAATTATTACAAGATCAGATGGTTATACTTTTGTAAATTCTTCTCTTATAAATTGTTCAACCAGTCAAAGAGTCTTGTTCTAATTTTAAACATTTTGACTGACAAAAGAAAATGAAAATCTAAATAAACATGTTTAGGTCATCAATAAATGGGTAAAACAACACCAACATAAATCATATAATGAATTTTGTTTTGACTCTAACCATCAAAATTTTAAGAATGAAACAACTCAGAATACAAGAGTTGGTTCCAGCTATCCGGGACTCCAGAGAGACACCAATGGCTACAATCCGGCATCTTGTGACCGCCAAACCCGTATACTGAAGGATGTCCATCTTTCCTTAGCTGAGACATTAATGTCACATCCATTAACCGCGCCGGATTCTTCATCGTCTTTATCACTTTCGCCACCACCATCTCCGCTCGGTGTGGTCCCGCCCAGTACTTCGATCCCATAATCGGCTTTGTTTCTCCAATGCAACTGCCTTTGCCACCTTGTTTCGACCATTCGCTTGCGCTGTAACATTATTGTTAGCAATATCATCTTCAAATTATTTTAATCTATGAGCTTCAAATTATTTGGTTCTAACCAAAACTTATATAGACTAATCCAACATATATATATATATATATATATCGTGTTAATTTTTGTCGTTGATTTAAAGTATGTATCAAATAAAAAAAGAAAGTTATATAGAGAAAGAACTTACCGGCCATGGTCCGGAGAAACACCCTGGAAGAAGACTTTGGTTTTGGAAGGATCAATGTTCTGATCAATCCACTTAGCCCAAGTCATCATTGCTTTCTCATATGCCACTAACCGGTCCATGTCTTTAACCGTTACATTCCCGGACATAATTGCGTCCCATCTGCAACCCCAAATGATTACATTAGTTAGATACTAGGTCCATATACTAAGATATGTTTGACAACATAAAGATGATTTTACGGTTGTTTTCGGCCGGTGTGAAGCCACCAATGCCAAGAGTTGAAGACCAAAACATCTGCGGTTTTCCACAACGAACCACTCGAGATGGAGTCGAGCATCATCACTCGCTTAGGTGGGGCTCCGACTATATCCACCAGAAACGCGTTTCTTGAAAACATAATCGAAGAATTGTAAGCCTGCATTTGCATGCATTTAAATACCACCAGAACCAGAATTAAACCATATTAAACCGGAGCTATACCGGAAAAGAGTTTGATAAAGTTCGAAACATTACGGGGAATGAGAAGACAGAGAGGCCAGAAGGGGAACGTGTGACGCTGGAATTGACGTTTGGTGCAACGTTGTGGAGCAAACACGTGAGAGATTGCCATTGGTTTAGACTCAGTGAATCTCCTACGAACATCAGTTTCTTCCCTTTCATTATCCTTCCCAGAAATTCTAAGCCGTTGAATCTGCACCATTCATCATTAATCAATTTAACATTTAAATATCATTCATAGAAGAAAAAAACTTCACGTTTAATTTACCACAAAATGGTTGGATACTTAAGGTTTGTAACATTTTGTAACTTATTATGTCTTTGTAATAATTTTATTCTAGGGACGGGTTATAGTTATGGGTTTATGTACCAGCTGCTTCGGTTACTTAAAATTCTATAACATTCATACACAGGAACTCAAGGGTTTTGAATCCAATAATAAACCCTAATTAAAAACCTATTAATCCCCCTCAAGAATACTAATGACATTTTTGAGAGTGAAATTTTCCGATACCATGCTAGGTGATGCTCAGTCGTTCTGAATTATAGTGGTACTCATAGCCATTCACCTACGATTAGTAATATGTCTTAAAATGCACTAGATCTACCTATAGAAAAACGTTATATATACATGAAGAAAAGATAGAATCACCTGGGGAGATTGCAACCGGAAGGTTGCCACCGATACTTGAGGTACTCTTTGTCAGGGCGACCATTGGACTTGCAGTTAAATTGTCTCTCGATGAAAGGACAAGTCTTGGAATCATAGAGAGGGTAAGATTTATCATAGACCCAACTTCCTAAATAAATATTACAAAACTTTCTATGTGATTGTGATGAACCATTCACACTAGCACTCTCTGTTTGGTTTAACAACACAAGTATCATTATAACCATGACCATTACTACTCCGGTCGAAGCAGCACCTCTCATCATTGCAAAACTCACACAAGTTGTCAACGTTTTTGGTTTGGTGAAGAAGAAGAATTGTGTGGCTTTTGTTTATATATATCGGCATATATATGACGTGTTTGTGTAGTATATGTTATATCGGCTCTAATTTAAGAAAATATCTCTACATGTAGATTTTTTTCTTAAATTAAAGATATTTTCTCTCTGTCTTACGGTACTTAATTGGTAAAATGAACGTTAGAATCTTTATTAATGAGGAAAGGAGATGGATCAGTTTCCATTTTCGTTGGATTCAGTTTTGGTCTGGAGATCTAGAGATATGTGGAAGTTTTTTTTAATACTAATATATGGAAGTTTATATCTTTGTATATATCATATATATTTATACTAATTCATCATATTTATACTAAATGAATTTCATATATTAGTATAAATATATGGATGTCTTTATAAATAAACAATATACATATAGTAGTTTATATCTTTGTATCCAGTACTAATTTATAATTTTATAATAAATTAATTTCATCTTGATACAAGTGCAATTAAAATTTAGGTTAGGACTTAATCACAGCCTATGAGCTTGTTTCACTTGAAAATAACAAAAGAAGAAAGAAACTATGACAAAAAAAAAAAAAAAAAAAAAAAGAAAGAAAGAAACTCGAAAGTCAGTCATTACCACTCTACAAATCAATTCAAATGCCTATGAAACCTTTTCTGTCTCCTGGAAAACAATCTCTCAAGATAAGAACAAATTAAATTACTAATAGCTTACAGGCGCTTTTAGCATTTCTCTAACTCGGGTTTAGCCTCTTCGACCCCGTCTCCATGTCCAGTCTCTGCGGTTGATATGTTGCTGTTATGATCAACGGATTGATTTCTGTTAAATGTAGTTTGGCTTTGGATATAAGACCACTTATCTTGAAAAAGATAGACCAAGACAATAGAAGCGAGTTGTGCCGTGAAGAGTATGGTCCAAAGCTTAGCACTTGTTGATGTCTTTTTGGCGTAAGCGTGTAAACCTGTGTATATGTTTATCATCCCAAGAATAGTAATTAATGTTCCTAATATCCAATGTCCTACAAACCACTTCCTTCTAGATTTTCCTCCCCTGCAATGTATAGTAAACAAAACAATACTTATAAACTAGACCCATTTGGAAGTCCTCGTCATGATTGATAACATACAATTAAGTCTAACAAATGCAAACTCTATATGCAAACGCAAGAACACAAAATAATAATTGTTATAATTTCGTCGCAAAAAACTATCGGTTCTCTATTTATTATGCTGAAGAGAAAAAAGGAACCAGAAGTACCTTGGAGGTCGGAGGAAGCCAAGAAGAGCTTGGAACCATACAATAGCGTAAAGTCCAATTCCAAGCTGTTGGTGATGATTATTGAAGGAATTGTTGAAGTTTTTAATCGACATTATTGCCCCTATTGTCACAAGTATCACTGCAACCATCTGTTTGATAAAGTCATATGAGCCACTTATTGATTGATAATAATAGTTAAAAGTGATTTTTGTTGATCAATAATATATAGTCCACATTTCTTATTAATTAAGTATCAAGGAAACTATATTTTGTAACAAGAATTTGACTAGTAGGTGTGGTTTTTTAGTTAAGTATCAGAATGAGAAAAAGAGAAAGTCAGAAAGAATTAAAGGTTAAGAAGATATTGACGCTAAAGCTAAAAAAGAAGAAGAAGATAGACGCTTTACCTTGGCCTTCAAGTTTCCATGATTATCAGTGTGATTAACAATCTAGAATAACTCAAAAAGCCCTACTAATTACTAATGGAATACTAATTAAAAATCATGAAAAAGTCGTCAGTTGGATGCAATCTTTATTCTTTAAGCATCTTTGCTTTACTCTCCATCCACCCATCTTCTCGCACCGACCATTAAATTTCATTTTCAACTCATATAATATTTTCAACATACTTATGATTTAGTTCGTTGAATCTGATTAATCTTTGATATCTCAAAAAATAAAATAGAATAAGAGAGCCAAAAAAAGAAGTGAAACCTGCCTGAGAAATGACATGAAGAAAGAACAGTCGTCGAAGAGTGATTATAGGTTGGTCTTTGATAGATATTAATCTGATGGAGATTATACCAATTGGCAGTAAAACACCCATCGATGCCCAAAGCATAAATCCATGCACTTTGATTTCGTACACAAGCTTTGGATTTAGTTTCTGTTCAATAAAACCAAAAATAAGAGTTTCATACCAATTAAGAGTTTTTGAAAAAGTAATTAACAAGCACACATTTTATAGAAAAAAATCTATATCCTTTAATCATCATGTAAGGAATAATATATTCAGAAAATTCAAGGGTTCTTCATGGTTTCATGTAAAAATGTCTATATATACATAGACATACATATATGCTATTCATGAGATGATGAATATAATAATTAAACTCATTAGGTTCATAAGTTCAGTAACAAAGGAGCTTCATTGTATAGAATTATAAGCTAAAGCAATGAGATTATGAAGAGTTTGATATTATTACATTTTAATTAATTAGGATGAGCGAGAGAGAAAAGAGCATACTAACCTCGGAGATAAGACTTGTTTCGACTTGACCATTGACATCAATGGCCAAGCTTCTGGTATTTTCTTGGGAGGTGCATAGGGGAAGAAGGAGGAGGAGGAGAAAGACGAAGAGGTGATGGTGAATCTCCATGACTTCATGTGGTTTGAAGTGGAAACAACAAATACATAGTTTAGAATTGATGATAATCAATTCATGAGTTTATTTTCATAAATATAAGTGTTAAAGTTTATGAGTCTGTGTGTGTGTGTGTGTGTGTGTGTGTATATAAAGAATTGGGGGAAAGTAAGACGCACTTT